GATAATGATGACTAGTAGCAGTACAAGCATCTCCCCAGCAAAGAAAATGCATGGTGTGAATATGAGTTGAAGGTGTAAATTCGTCGGATCATCCTTATTACAAATGGATTTATATTTCCCTTAATATTTGGTTCAGCTGGAATTTCTCTCTGATAACATGAGATGTTGATTTCTATCTTCCCGTTGACGTCCTTATATTTAATCGATTTTAGATGACACCCGGTTTCGTTTAAATTTCAACTATTATATTTTTTTTTTTACATTTTCGTTAAAATTCGAGTCATGCGATTTGAGACGACGCCTATCAAGTTGACATTAATATTTTACTGATTTCAAAAAAAAAAAAAATAAATAAATAAAAAAAAAAAAAATAAATAAAAACAACAACAAAAAAACAAACAAAAAAAGCAACAACAAAAACTAGCAACTTTTAACAAGGTTAAACAGTTTATGAACCTACAATTTATTTCTGGTTCAAATTCTGTATCAGCCAAAAAGGATAGAACTCACACCGGCCAGTAGTAATACCAATCCACGTGGGTAATTTTGCTAATGATTTTTTTAATCAATTCACCCCAAGAAAGGCGATAAAGCCACGAAGACGTAAGGGGCTACTGGAGGTGAAAGAGAATGAAAATACTTTAGAAGGAACCGGAAATCCAATCTTGAACAGGAAACAAGGAAAAAACGTTGACTCCTGTTCAAAAGACAACGGAGGAATATGATTTAGTTGTTATTGCTTAGCGGCATATTAACACCTCTATGGGTTATTTAATGCCGGAATCTAAATTCTAAATATGAAAATTCAAACTTTATAATTAATTCAAGATAATTACATTATTTTGTGATTGAATAATTACTTAGCAGCATTTTGCCCCAAATAATCTTATAAAATCAAACAAGTAGTGAAAATATGTTTCTCTTTACAGTAAATTAGATTAATCCGTAAATCGTTTTTTTTTTTTTTTTTAATTATTTTGACAATGCATTCCAGGTTTACAATTAAATGTATTCTTGCTAATTTCACTAACCAAATATATTACTGGTACTTTTACTATAAAATATATTTTTATATTTTCCCAGAGTTTTGAATTTTGGGGGTTCACTATTTGCCTTTGGCTGGGACCCTAACAGGTGCTACCACATTGGGTCAGGGAGAACCTGGAATACAACAGCAATTAAGAGGTTCTACGCTTCTCAAAATCTCCAATTTCCCATTCAGAGGCCTTGCTGCCTGATGTAGTTTATCGTCATACCGAGGACTAAGGAGAAGAGTGAACTGGGCGATAAGCGAACTTATCTACTCCTATTGAAGGAAATAAATAAATAATAGATAGTAAATAAAATTTCAGAGTTTAGGCGGAGACGTTAGAAGTATAGATTGAAGTTGACTTTAGAAGTAACCGGAAACCCAATCCTAAACGGGGAACAAAGGATAAATCTCAACTTCCGTTCAGAAGACCTGGGAGAAGTGTTAACGGGACGATAGGCGGATCTGTCTACACATATAAAATGTGCCATGTTGAATGTTGTCTTTGGGTTCTAGTGGCCTATTTGTTGTTCTACAGCAAGAACTCAAATGCTGCTTCAACGGCGAATGACAAGTTTTTTCAGATTTTATTGCTACAAAGGACAGGAAATAGTGGGGAGCCATGGTCGCCTACACCCAGAAAGAACATGGCACATAAAAAAAGAAAATGAGCTTGAGTAAATGATGGTGGAAGAGGGTTTAGGAGAAATAACAAAAAGACAAAATATATTTCGAGCCACAAAGGGCAGGAAATTGTGGAGAGCCATGATTGCCTACATCCAAAAAGAACATGGCACATAAAAAAAGAAAATGGGCTCGAGTAAATGATGGTGGAAGAGGGTTTAGGAGAAATAACAAAAAGACAAAATATATTTCGAGCCACAAAGGGCAGGAAATTGTGGAGAGCCATGATCGCCTACATCCAAAAGAAACATGGCACATAAAGAAGAAAAATGAGCTTTGGTAAATGGATGGTGGAACAGGGTTTAGGAGTGATAACGAAAAGACAAAATTTATTAAGAGCTACAAAGGATTGGAAATTGTGGAGAGCCATGATCGCCTACATCCCCCCCACCAAAAAACATGACACATACAGAAGTTAAATGAGTAAATGGATGACGCGACAATGCTTAGGAGAAATTAAAAAAAAAAACAAAAAAAAATTAAGAACTACAAAGTTGTGGAGAGCCATGATCGCCTCCGAAGAAGTAGGCATCGTTAAAGCGAGAGAGAGAGAGAGAGAGAGAGATAGGACGTATATCAGCAGGTTGGCCAGATACATACTCTTCACGTGCGTGACTTGCCTACCTGCTGAATCCACGCTCACGCAAAAGAAATCTGGATACGGAAGGCTCGGACAAGCATTTAGCGCTATTGGGTTCTCTACTGCCGCAACCGTTCTGAACGTCGACGGGTGTTTTTCCTGTTTTATGTCAAAACTTAGACAAAGGCTATCCATCCCGGGCAAGATTCCGTGCCCATGTGGTCCAACTCACGCCCTATTCAGTTCGAGTCGTCAACGTTCCGGCTAGTACGGAATGATCAGTAATTATATTTTAACAATTATCATTTTGCCACTTTGTTTAGCCTAGCTATTTCGTAAAAAATAAAATACAAGAAACAACTTCATAACAAAGACTTCAGAAATTCAAAATATGGCTGCCATTAAATATTTAATGAGTGCCACGACCAAAGTATTGAGGTCATTAACATCCCAACAATTTCCAAAGAGACTATAATGTGCTCCCACATGTCAACTCATTAGAAAACATAACAAATATACAAATAATAATTTTGCCATCACTTTTTATATAAGTATACTTGGATATTTCTCTTTTCTCTCTTTCTCTCTCTCTCTCTCTCTCTCTCTATATAT